TAGACATCGGTCTATTGGCGCCTAGGCGCCCATTATGGGGCGCCAATATAGAGCGCTTGACGCTTATGCCCCAAGTTTAGGCGCCTAAGCGCCCAGTGCAGTTGCTACACGAAAAATTGGTTTCTAAGACAGTTTTTTAGCATGGATCAGTAAGCTTACAATTTTCTTCTTTTTGAATTCTTCGATGAGCATCCCGGTGAAGGTGAGGAGTGTCGAAGATGTAGATTTCAGTGATTCGGCATAATTTTTTGGTCAGATTGGAGAGGGAAGATTGTTGGTGCAAGTCTTGTAAGTTTCTTCTTGTGAATGTAGAGAAGAAACTTGCGTGGGTCCTTTATTAAACTTTCTAAATTTCATAGTGAAATTTCTGATGGTGTGGCTCCATGTTTTTTTTCTCGTTCTTGGGTTTTTCCACACAAAATCCATGTGTGATTTTTTTGTTACTTTGATTGTGCTTTTGTGTTTTTCAATTTTTGTTCTGATTTTCTTGAATCCTATGATCCTGTTACGCGACGAAATTAAAATGAGACTCTTTCACAGTAGTTTTCCTTAACAAACGAGTATCAGAGTGGGGTTTGATTCAAGTAGGAGCAATGATTGAAGAAGCAATTCAAAGTGGAGAAGTTGAATGGGACGAACATCGCTTTCTGAAAGATGCAGATGGAGGATTTGTTGTATCAGAAAAAATTGTGCTTGCCACAACAAGAACACAAGGAACCTTGAGTCCATGCGTATGGAGGAATGAGAAGTGTTTGATCGAACGACATTAGATTTGATCATGTTGACACTTTTTTCATCTATTGTGTTCAACATTGTGAATGAGAACTCTACAGTAGATCTCTTGGCGGCACTGGTCAAGATGCACAAAAAACTTTTTGCTTCTAATAAGTTTTTTTCGATGAAGAAATTATTCAACATGAATATGATGGAAGACAAATCAGTGGCAGAGTATCTCAATGACGTCAACATTGTGACGAGTCAGTTGCATTCTCTGTGAATAAAGTTTGATGATGAGGTCAGAGCACTGGTTATATTATCTTCATTGTCGGAAAATTGGGATAACTTGGTAATGACGTTGAGTAATTCTTCAGGAATTTCAAAGTTGAACTTCGATGATATCGTTGGTCTGATGTTGAATGAAGAAGTTCGCAGAAAAACAACGAATGATGAATTTTCAGGTTCTGCTTTGAATGTTGATAACAGAGAAATGAATCTGAGCAGACATACAGATAGAGACATATCCAAATTCAAGAAAGGAAAACCCAAGTCAAACAGAGGAGAATGTTGGAACTGCTGTAAAAAGGGGCATTTCAAGGAGGATTACAAAGCTTCAAAGAAAGCTGGTTATGGATGGCAGGAAAGTAGTTTTTGTACTAATACCAACACCAGCACAGGTGAAATTTAAAGTGACTCCCTGGTGTTATCCCTAATCAACACTGAATTTCAGATAGTGGATTCATGAGCCTCTTCTCATGCTTGTCCTAATAAAAAAGTATTTAAAAACTACACTCAGAGTGATCTAAGGAGGGATTATCTTGGAGATAACAATGCTTGCAATATAATTGGAAAGTGTGATTTTGATATCAAGTTGTCAAATAGAACAGTCTGGAAGCGTACTGAAGTCAAACATGTTTCTAGTTTGTAGAGAAATTTTATCATTGTGAGCTAGCTGACAAAGTCAAGACTTGTGACTTCTTTCACAGGTGATTCGTCGAAGGTAATCAGGGGGCATTAGTGATGGCTTAGGCCAACATTAAAGACACCATTTTTTTTATTAATGAAATGACTGATTTCATTGATGTGGCTGGAATTAGGGTGCATGTAGGTCAGTGACACCGTAGGCTTGGCCATACGAGCGAGAAAGATATGAAGTCTACTTTTAAAGAATAAGCTTCAGGGCCTGAAATTAGTTGATCTGAATTTCTGTGAAAACTGTATTTATGCAAGCAGAAGAAGGTTTTTTTTTCTCCAAGAGCGGGTCAGTGATGAAATCAAAGAAACTAGAATTAGTGCATGTTGACGTATAAGGTTGTACTCCAATTCAGTCCATTAGAGGTTTTTGCTATTTTGCCATGTTCATTGATGATCACACGAGAAATGTATGAGTTTATTTCTTAAAGCAGAAATTTGATGTATTTAAAATCTTTAAGAAATGGAAGGCTATAGTAGAAAATTAGACAGACTTGAAGCTGAAGTGTCTCAAATCAGATAATGAGGATGAGTACTATGATCAGAAGTTCGGGAGTTTCTATGCTACATTGGGGGTCAGGCATGAGTTCATTGTTCCAAAGATACTGCAACAGAATGGTGTGGCTGAGTGCATGAACATAACAATCACGGAGCATGCTAGGAGCATGAGAATGCATGCAAACTTGCCAAAATAATTTTGGACAGAAGCAGTAAACACAACTGTTTATCTGATAAACCGTAGTCCATCAGTCAAACCAGTCATTCGCCTAAGTATTCTCATCTCAGCAACACTTAACTTTGTTTTATACTTCTCTTTTAAAGACCAACATTCTATCCCATTAAGTATTGTAGGTCTCACCACCATCTTATAAAATTTTACTCTAAGGCGAAGCGGTGCTTTTCTGTAACACAATAGGCCTGATGCATTCCTCCTCTTCAACCAACTAATCTGAATTCTACTAATAACATCACCATCTATATCACCTTCACTTTGAACAATAAACCCGAGATATCTAAAACATTAACTCCTTTTAATTATTTAATCACCCATTATTACAACTTTACCACTAGATCTACTACTGCTAAAATTACATTCCATGTATTTAGTTTTAGCTCTACTCAAACGAAATCCTTTAGACTCTAATGTAGACCTCCGTTGTTCATGTTTGTCCTAAACTTTTTCTCTAGTCTTATCCACAAGAAGGATATCATCAACAAAAAACATACACTAAGATACATCCTCCTGTAAATGTCCAACAAGTATATTTATAACTAAAGCGAAAAGATATGGGCTTGAAGTTGATTCGTGATGTAATCCAACCGAAATAGGAAAATACTTGGTCGATTCTCCTTCTGATCAAACACAAGTAACATCTCTAGTATACATATTTTAAATGACTTGAATATAAGTCATATCAACACCTTCCTTTTTAAGAAATCTCCAAAGAAATTCTCTTGGAACTTTATCATAAGTTTTTTCTAAATCAATAAATCATATGTAAATCCTCCTTACTCTTACTGTACTTCTCCATCTTCTCAATAAATGTATTGCTTCCACAGTATACTTGACCGACATAAATCCGAATTGATTATGAAAAATTTTTGTATCACGTCTTAACTCATATTCAATTATTCTCTCCCACAGTTTTAATGTATGACACATTAACCTAATTCCTCTATAATTTGCATGCTCTTGTGCATCCACTTTATTCTTAAAAATGAGACCAAAATACTCTTTCCACTCCTCAGGCATCTTTTTAGTTTTTAAAATAATTTTTAAAAAAATTAGTAATTCAAGAAATTCTCAAATTTCCTAAATATTTCCACACTTTTATTAGAATATCATCAGGTTCTACTGATTTTTCACCCTTGATTTTCATTAAAGCCTCATCAAATTTTTTTTACTAATGCGACGGAAAAATAAAAAAGTTTTATTATTATTAACGATATTAAGATCACTAAAACCGATCGTATTTTCACAAATTTCGTTGAAAGGTTTATCAAAATATCTCTCCCTTCTATATTGAATATCTTCCTCTAAGAAAATCATTTTTTTGATGTTCATCTTTAATTACTTGAATTAAATTTTTACTTTTTTTTCCCATTATTTGGTTAGTTTATACATATATATCTTTCACCCAAGCTTGTCAAGAAGGCCCAACGTAATTTTGATTTGTAAGAAATGGGACTAATTTTTCAGTCTCATTTGTATCAAAAAATTGTTGTTTGGTTGAAGTGAAAGAATGCATCTGGCCTATTGTGTGATAGGAAAGTACCGCTCAGGCTGAAAGGAAAATTTTATAAGATGGTTGTGAGACTGCAATGCTCTATGGTGCAAAATGGTGGCTTTTAAAAAAAAAAAAAACATAGAACAAAGTTAAGTGTTGCTGAGATGAGAATTAGGTGGATTAGTGACTTGAAACTTGGAGAAAATGCGAAATGAATACATTTGTGATAGGGTTGGTGTTACTCCAGTGGCGAACAAGATTAGAGAGATTCGTCTTAGATGGTTTGGTCACATTAAAAGCCGATCATCTGATGATCCTGTTAGGAGCGTAGATGTTTTAGATTCAACTTATGCTAATAAAGGCAGAGGTAAGATCTATTAGAATTGAATAAAAATATGACACTCAATAGGACGCAATGGAGAATAAGGATTCATGCGGCCGACTCCACTTAGTGGGATAAAAACTTGTTATTGTTGTTGTTGTTGATGTGTATCATAAAATTATAGGCCTAGGTGATGCTTTTTGGAGCTTGTTCTTTAGATCCTGATAAAAGGGACCTTTGGTAGGTTCATTGATTTGTCAATATCCAAATACTTCTAAATGTGTCAACAGGATATCCTATGAGATCTATAGACCGGGTCAAACAGCTCTTACCTGGACTTGCTCCAACCTTGTATTTTGCAACAGAAATGAGGTCAACAGGGGCAGGTACCAAATTGCATTTTTTGCAATTTTGTACCTGTTTAGTATTTCTAAATTTAGTTGCTGGACACACATCATGCAAAACATCTAAGGAAGAATTTATATAAATACTGCTCAATGGTTCTGTATTTACATTTCAAACACCTAAACTTCAATCTTAACATATATGCTACCTTACCTATGCATGAAAAGGTATATTTCACTTTTTAAAAGTTAAAATAGTGATATTTTTTATGTGATGTGAAAGATTTCAGTGGTATAAATGTAAAAAGTAAAGTTTAGCATTTGATATGTAAATACATAGGAATTGAGTGGTATGTGTAGTTTTATTTTACATGGTGATAGATACTTACTGCATTTAAAATATTGAACATTCTCAAGGAGCTCGTGAACTGGGAGTATAAGAGTAAGGAAAGTGGGAAGATGCATGCTTGTGGTCATGATGCTCACGTGACTATGCTTCTAGGGGCAGCTAAGTTGCTTCAACGCCATAAGAATGATTTTAAGGTATCTTTAAGCGCACCATTCACAGCCATGAACCATGGTGCTTTTATGTTTGCTGGCACAGCTTATTTCAAGCTTTCTTTACTTTACAGGGGACTGTGAGGCTTGTCTTCCAACCTGCAGAAGAGGGTAAAGCTGGTGCTTACCATGTACTGCAAGAAGGGGTACTACATGATGTTGAAGCCATTTTTAGCATGCATGTTGATCCCACTATACCAACTGGGACGGTTGCTTCTAGACCTGGTATTATTCTTGCTGCTTCTGCTCGCTTTCTGGCAACTATTAAAGGAAAAGGTGGGCATGCTGCTACCCCACATAGAACAATAGATCCGGTTATTGCTGCATCTTTTGCAATTCTCAGTCTTCAGCAGCTTGTATCTCGGGAATCAGATCCTCTTGAGAGCAGGGTTTCTCTCTCTCTCTCTCTCTCTCTCTCTCTCTCTCGCTCCAGCAACTTTGCTTGTGCAGTCATTCAAATTTACTTTTGTGCTGACCAAATAATACGTTCTTTGTTTCCTCTTAGATTGGTAATATTATGAAGTTTAGATCTTTTAGGGACTATTTGGTATCATTTTTTATTATTTTAAAAAATATTTATTTAGTATATTTTTCACATTTATTTTTTTAAGAAAAATAAATTAACCTATTTTTAGAAATACTCAAGATAACTTTTAAGTGTTCTGTGTTTTTTTAAAAACAACTGAAAATGTTTTATTTCAAATCAAGACAAAAAATATACAATAAAATAAACATGAAAGTGATTCCAAAGGGCTCGTTAATGTTCTTATATTTGAATTATGCTAGCAGAAAAGGGTTATATGCCGTTGTACCTTTAATTTGTCTGTTTTAAAATTGTTTCTATAAAGCCCACCTGGAATACTAAATGCTATTTTTCACGTAGTAGTGCATTCTCTTTTATAATTTTAACTTATAAGGAAACTGGACTTAGAGAGCTAGTAGCATTTTATAAATACCATCAATGTAACTGCGTAGTATTGTAAATGTCTGAAGCAGTGACGCTGAATAGATTGAAAAGTTTGACATTGTAAGAAATAAAAATATATGGTTCCCTTTTTATTGGAACTTTTGGATGCAAATTACATAAATATTGATGACAAGAGGCGTATTTATTTATTGGCAATATGTAATTTCCAAATACATCTCGAGAAATGTGCTATATCTTTTTTTGAGTTTAGAGTATGCATCAGAGTTGCATTAGGACCTTGACTTTGCATGTTTTACTCTAGTCAATTTCTAGTAATTTTTTTACGCTCTGTTTTCGTAACACAAGAAGCCTTTGTAGAATTTAAAGATTATTTCCAAAAATTGAGGAGAAATATGTTGGTAGTTCAAGTGTCGTATCATTGAATAAAACAGTAGAAAGCATCGGTTAGAAGATAGTTTTGATACTTGAATCGTTTGTATGAGGTTGAATTCAATTCAGTGTTATTAAGTAGCATTTGTATTTTATCACATGCTGTGTTTTGTTTCTGTAGGTAGTTACGGTTGGGATCGTGAAGGCTGGTGGTGCATATAATGTTATCCCAGAATCTGCTACCTTTGGAGGAACCGTTAGGAGTGTAACGACCAAAGGACTGTATATTCTCCTTACACGTATACGAGAGGTACTGAAAGTACTAGTATTTACATTCTGATTTACAATTATATTTAACTCAACAAAATGTGCGAAGAAGGAGAGAGAGAGAGTGAGAGGAAAAGTGTAAAGCATCTCATTTAAATCTTTAACATTTGTTTTATTATGAAACATATTCAGGTAACTAAAGCACAAAAATCTAAGGTAAAATCTGAGAAGAAGAAAAAAAAAGATTAAGCGACAGTGGGAGCTTTTTTTTACACGTATCTTCACAATGTAATAAAATTATGTATTGAACCCTGTTCAATTAGCACATACAACCTCTACTCACCTCTTAATTTGCACAACTCTTTCCTGGTTCCAAGGAACATGAATAGGCGCCGCACCGTATCATAAATAAATGCAAAATCCCAGTTAATTATGACAATAATTCTGAGAGAAATTAGAACTTTTCATGTGGTTTGATCTCCATCTTGTACAGAGCTTACCTGAATTTAACTACGGGATATATAGTTTCAGGGGTACTTGTAAATGAGTGTTCTTTTTTGGGAGGTGTGCATGTGATTAGGTAATCAATTTAAAATGGCCTTACTGAAACTTATAAGGCCTCTCTAATCTACGGTAGGAGACTAAAAGATAAGAACTTGAAGAGGCATATTCTGGCTAAATCAAGTCTGAAAAATGTTTTCCATTATAAGGGAAAGGAGAGTATTGCTGGGTAGGCTTTTAGGCACAGGGTGGCAACAGTGAGCTTTTGATTCCTATTGACTGAAAGAAAAATACGATTGAAAGCAAAAATCCTATGTTTATATATCATTAAAATAGCAGTCTTCAAGTCCTGCCTTTGAGGAAGTACTGAACATCCACTCCATGAATCTAGCTCCTGATTTCTTACCAACCTAATAATAAAATTTAAAAAAAATAGAGACAAATAAAGAATATACAAGATAACGAGGCAACTTCAGCTTTGCCTCTACTCCCGAAATAGATGAGTGAAGAAGATATGGGCAATTCAAGGATGCCCACAATCTATCTATACATTAAGGAAGAGCTATAAGCCATAGTTTTCTTAATTCATTTTGTGTTTTTTCTTCCAAAAATGTTTATAAAATACAAAGACACCTAATGACTCATTGACATCCACTAATGACCCAATAGGCGTCCATAATCTTAAATTATCCTAACATACTTCCTTTTGCATTTCCTCATTGCAGATCATACAAACTCAAGCCGCTGTGCACCGTTGTATTGCCACGGTGGACTTCATGGAGAAGACACTCATGCCATACCCTGCAACTGTCAATGATGAAGAAATGTACATGAATGTGAAGATGATTGGTGAGGAATTGGTGGGGGAAGACAATGTCCAACTAAGTCCCTTAGTCATGGGTGCAGAGGATTTTAGCTTCTACTCACAAAGGATGCCAAGCACAGTCTTCAATATTGGCACAAAGAATGAATCAATTGGGGCTGTATATCTTCTGCACTCCCCTCATTTTTTTCTAGATGAGCAGGTGCTTCCAATTGGAGCTGCTTTCCATGCTGCAGTTGCATTTTCTTATTTGAATAGGTACTCAGACTTATCTTATTAATATATTAATTCAGGATTTCGACTGGTTTCTAAATGAGCTCAGTTTTTCATTTTCATGCTTCTTGTTATATGTCTGTTGCATTGAAATGTGATATATTGGTACCCAGCCTGTACAAGGGCTCTAAAACTAAAATAAATATTAACTAACGTGTACACTCAGAGCCAGAGGGATCATTGGGTTGATATTCTTACTTGTTTTTTAGCACCCAAAAGTAATGACAAAGATAAATAAAAAAAGTCCGGCCTGTTTTTATTCAAATTTGCTTTGAAAAGTTTTTGGGGGATCATAATTTTTCTTACTTTTGAAGAGAAACTTTACCTGGTTGAATGAGCTCTAGGGCGTGCATGTCCCTCTTCTTCTATCACCTTCCCTCTCCATTAATTTCTTTCAATCTTCTTAGTCATTTTTGTTGGTTTTATCTTTATTTTCTTTGTAAACTTTCCGCTGCCTTAGGTTGAAGGTTTTTTGGGTTTTCGATGAAATAACCTTGTCCCTTGTCATGGATAACCCTTTCAATGAGCCACAAATCTCTACCCTCTATAATACAATCTTATCCGGCTCTTTGAATTCAATCATCGACTTCAATATAGATTCACGATAGACCTACTTAAGTTACTTTGCCCATTTTTCTGCTTATAGTCCCATAACTCTCATGGACTCCACCTCTTATACATCCCAGAGGTCGAAGTTGTAGAAAGGTCTCTCAATAAGAAGTTTTTAAGAGAATCAAATCTATCCATCACATTCAAACCCTGCACTCCTCATCTAATCCACATTTTCCAATCATATTCAGATAATTTTCCACTCCCCTCCCCTCCCTTCTTTCACGTCTCCCATGATCAAACTTTCTCTGCTCCAAAAGCCATTCCTAACCTATAGCTTCTGGAGACTGTCTGAGCAGAGTCAAGAACCTTACGTTGCCCCTAATGTTGAATACCAAGAACCCCATAACGCCCAAATTCTTACCACTTTCTTGTTCTGCTTCCTCATCAAGATCTAGTAGATTCTGCTTGATAATTGCATCGTAGAATATTAGAGGTTTTCAACGGGAATCTTATCCACTTATTAAACCTTAACCTATTTTGTGTGCTTGAAATTAAAATCATTAATTCTCCCGTTCATTTCTCTTGGTTTACTACTACTGCATATTTTTTTTTTCCAATGAAGGAATTCAGAACATAATTTGGATCAATTAATATGCCTTAACCCCTTCCTTCAATCTTGTTCTTTAAGAGGATCAGCTTATTCATGATTTTGTACACTGTGATAACTATACTGTCCTTCATCTTTCTATTGTCTATGCACACAGCTTCTAAACTTGATAAAACCCAAATTAGGCTTTTCTTAAGCAACATTGAAATCAACATGTGTGGTTCTTAGATTATTTTTGGCGAGTTAAACGACTGTAGGTTTCATTTTGAGAAAGCTGCTTGTGAACTTATTCTTAGCAATACATTTTTGAATTATAATAGAGACCTCTCTTATATTGTTCTTTGTTACTCTTGGTTAATTAGCATGCTTGATGATCCTAGCAGGATTAAACTGATCAGAGTGTTGGTGAAAATGGATTAGTTATAATAATTTTCTTTTTATTATTGTAGAATCTAAGCTCCAAGCTTTTCAGTTTGTCCTCCTTTTTTAACATGTACTACCTTCCTTCCAATGTCAGCCAGAGATTTCAAAATTTTTAGGCATCTCATCATCATACAGTAATATAATGTTATAAGCTTGGAATCATTACTTTCAACGAGTAAAAATTTTTTGGGCATCTCATCTATTTAAGATTGCACTGCTATACTTTCATGGCGACCTCATCTATTTCAGATTTGCACTGCTCTAGTTTTTCTCATAGTGCTTTGGAAATATTTGTTGGTTTCCTCCTTTGAGTTGGGTAAGGTTATCCTCTCTCTCTATTTGTTTTCATATAAGCATATAAACACATAACTCGGCTTTTCATAAACGCATGAGAAATGTGCAAATCAAACCTACTTAAGCAAGGTGTGGAGCCGCGACGCGGGGAAAACGCCACGCCAAACGGGCTCTAAGTCTCAGAAGAGGTATATGGCTGAATAAGATTATTAACAAAAAAATGACATTAAGAAATAGGCGATTTTTAGAGGAATTACAATTCCAAGGGATAGAATCCAGTCCAGCATAATTTTAATTGATTAAATATATGGTATCCCTATGGGTAGACCAAGCTACTGTTTGGTTGTGTGCATTTATAGTTTGATGTAAATTGATTAAATAGATGGCATCCCTCAGGGTAGACTTTAACATTTAAGCACACCTATTTTGTGCGTTTATATGCTTTTGTATTAATAATATGTGACAAATATGATAAAAATAATGAAGTGCAGGTGGTTATGTTTAGACATCTGTATGTTTTGCACAATCTAGTGGAGTTAGAAGGGTTTTAGATCCATGTAATTATCCATTTTTGTGTTTGATACGTTTGAATAGAATGTATAAATTGAAGTGAAGGTATAAGAAACGAAGCGAAAGTGTTAAATTATTTAAATAAAGAAATGAATTTTATTTTCATGCCGGTCCCAAGCCCGAATGAGAAAAGTGGAGGGTTGCGTTAGGTAGTCGACATCAGCGTAAAACTTGTCGAAAAAATCATGACATGGATTCTTTTGATCATTGTGTAAGTGCTAGGGCGTCCCCTGGAAGCGACGCGATGTATAGCCTGAATACAGTGAAAAGTATGCAAGGGCCGCTACACCGGCGCCCGGGTGTAGTGTTAAATAAGCAAGGGTTCCTACATTACGGGCGAATGCGGGTAAAGAAGTTAGTCCATAAAACTAATGAAACTAATATTAGGATAGGATCTTGGAATATAGGCACTCTCAATGGTAAATTAATGGAATTAGTTGATATTATGATTCATAGGAAAATTAATATCTTATGTATTCAAGAAACTAAGTGGGTTGGAGAAAAGGCTCAGGAGATTGATAATTTAGGTTTTAAACTTTGGTATTCTGGTAAGAGTCGCACTAGAAATGGTGTAGGTGTAATTATAGATAAGAGTTTGAAAGATAATGTTGTAAAAATTAATAGAGTTGGTGATAGAATTATAGCCCTTAAGATTATCATTGATACTAAGATTTTTAATATTATAAGTGTTTATGCTCCTCAAGTAGGTTTAGATTTAGAGTCTAAAGATAAATTTTGGAATGACTTAGAAGACTTAATACAAATGATACCTCTTGAAGAAAGAATTTTTATTGGAGGAGATTTAAATGGACATGTCGGTAGAGTGGTAGAAGATTTCAGAAATATTCATGGTCACTGCGGTTTTGGAGTAACTAATGAAGAAGGTAAAGTTATTTTAGATTTTGCTTTAGCGTTTGATTTTGTTATTACTAATACTTTATTCAAGAAAAGGGATGAACATCTTATTACTTATAAGAGTGGATCTAATAAAACACAAATTGATTATTTTCTTATGAGAAGAAGAGATCGTCGTGATTGTAAAGATTGTAAAGTCATTCCAAGTGAAAATTTAAATACCCAACATCGTTTATTAGTTTTAGATTTTAAGATTAAGAGTTGTAAAATAAAAAATACTAGGACTCATCATTGCAGAATTAGATGGAGAAACTTAAAAGATACAAATAAAATTAATTTTATGAGTAAAATTCAAGATTTAAAAATTTGGGATATTCATGTAGAAGCAAATGTGATGTGAGATAAAGTATCAAACGCTATTAAACATATAGCAAAAGATATTCTTGGAGAATCAAAGAGAAAAATATTTACAAATAAAAATAGTTGGTGGTGGAATAATAATGTGCAAGAAAAGATAAAATATAAGAAGTTATGTTATAAAAATTGGTTTAAATGTAAAAGCTTAGAGAACTGGAGAAAATATCAAACAGCTCGCAGGGAGTCTAAAAGAACAATCTGTGATGCTAAAAATTCTGCTTTTAATGATCTTTATAATAGATTAGATACTAAGAAGGGTGAAAAATATATGTATAAACTAGCCAAACAAAAAGAAAAGAAAAGTAAAGATTTAACTCAAGTAAAGTGTATTAAAGATGAAAATCAAAAAGTACTTTTCTTAGAAAAAGATATTCAACATAGGTGGGTGAGTTACTTTGATAAACTTTTTAATGAAGTTTCTGAAAATACGATCGAACTTAGTGATTTTAATATCGTAAATAATAATAAAACGTTTCATTTTTACCGTCGCATTAGCAAAAAAGAAGTTGAGGAGGCTTTAAAGAAAACCAAGGGTGGAAAGTCTGTAGGACCTGATGATATCCCAATTGAAGTGTGGAAATATTTGGGAGATTTGGGAGTTTCTTGGCTTACTAAACTCTTTAAAACTATTTTAAAAACTAAAAAAATGCCTGAGGAGTGGAGGAAGAGTATTTTGATCCCCATTTTTAAGAATAAAGGGGATGCACAAGAGTGTGCAAATTATAGAGGAATTAAGTTGATGTGTCATACTTTAAAATTATGAGAGAG